CGGCTAGATGCACACGGCCTATTTTCCCTTTCTTTCCAGTGACCTCCCATTCGTTCGTTCATTGCACTAACCAACCCATGTGTTCAGTTATATCCACTTTTCTCTTCCTATCTATTTTTCATTTCTCGTTTTTTCTTTTTGTTCAGTTTATTATTATTTTTCTTTTTTCCCTTTTTCAAAATGGATGAGCTTTTTCTGCAAAATCGATGATTTTTTTTTCAAATTCCATGAACTGTTTTAAAATTTTATGGCCTTTTTCAACATTTAATGAACTTTTTCCAAATTTGATGATCTTTTTCAAATTCGATGAACTTTCTTTAAAAAAATGGATGAAAGTTTTTCAAATAGATGGATTTTTTTCCGAATTCGGCAATTTTTTTTTCATTCACCGAACTAAAAAAAACAGTGCTGTTTTTTTTTCAAATTTGTAATAAAAATTATATTCGTGTACTTTTCCAGAAATTTGATGAACTCTTACTCATAAAAGATTCAACTTTTCCAAATTGTTTTCATACAATTCAAAAATATAATAAATAGTGCAAAACACTTTGTCTGTAGTGGTTACCGCCTGTAGTGGTTAGCAAAACACTTTGTCCGTTGGAGCAACATGGTGCAAGTTCGAGTCCCCATACATACACTTTTTTGCATGTTTCCAAACAGGAACTCCCAAACATAGCGCGCCCATTGCTACTAAAACCACTAATTAAGGAGTATTTTTTTCGTAGATCCATTTTTTAAATTGTTTTATCTCTTAAATCATGCGTTCAAATCTCGAATGTTTTTACTATTCGATTTCTCACGTTGAGATCTTTAAACTAGACCGCGTGTTGACAAATTTTGATGAATCTTTTTTGCACAAAAAAGCATATTGGGAGCACTTTTTTCTTTTTCAAATGTGCCTCTCGCGGAAGCAAAACTATGCTTCTCACGGAAGATTTTTTTTTCCGGTTTTGATAGGCACGGCCGTGCTTTTTGCAGAAGAAAAAAAAAGAAGAGAAAACACATTTTTTTTTCTGTTTCCGAGAGCACGGTCGTGCCTATCACGGAAGTACAACCGTACCTCTCGTGAAAGCAAAACGGTGCCTCTCACGAAAGGAAAGAAAAGAAAAATTGTTTTTTTTTTTCGTTTCTGAGAGGTATAGTCGTGCCTCTCACGGAAGCAAAAATCGTGCCTTTCGCGAAAGTAAGAAAAATGTGTTTTGTTTTTTAGTTACCGAGAGGCACGACCAAGCCACTCGCAGAAGCAAAACTGTGCTTTTCATGAAAGAAAAATAAATAAATTGAGAGCATGCCACTTGGTATGCTCTCAGCCCGCCTTAAATGTCCCTTGGGAGGCTCCCGAACGAGCGCTCCTCAATTAGTTTTGAGTCTAAACACACTCCACTTTATTGATTATAAAAGTTCACATGAATACAATGTAGATCCGACGGATTAAGAAGCCACATATGGCGTCCTAAAAAAAAGCCCAGAGTATGTTTAGCGAGGCTATGCGCCTTAAGATTAGTTTCTCCTCCTTCAAAGATAAAGGAACAACGAGAGAACTGTTAAGATGTAAGACTAATCTCCTTAATAATGCTTCTTTCTTCCGGTGACATCCGTCGTTAGTTTGGAATTTCACTTTAGTTGGGTTCCTAATCAGCTGATCGGGCCCAAATCCACGTACGCTTCAGGCCCGCCTAACCTATTGTCCACCTCGAGATATTTTCTTTATCTAGAAAAAAAAAGATATTTTCATTGCCCCCTTGCCCTCGCCCTATCGCCTTCGGTTGCCACTCCTCTCCCCCGCCATGTCGCTCGCCATGGCCACCCCCACCGCCACCGCCGCCGCCCACCTCGCCTCGCCCCTCTTCTTCTCCTCACCCCCAGGCCCCCGCAGCCGCCGAGCCCTCAGAACCCCGTTCCGGCGCACCCGCATCGCCGTCGTCGCCTCCGTCCCCGACCCCGCCGAGAAGCCGGTGCAGTACACGCCCTGGCTCATCGCCGGCCTCGGCAACCCCGGCAGCAAGTACCAAGGCACTCGCCACAACGTGCGTACATCCCTTCGCCCGTGCTCCTATCCCTCCCCCCTCCGATTCGAGATGACCTGCCTCCCCCTCACTTCGCCTGCGTGTGTATCTGCGTGCGTCTGCGTGTGATTAGGTGGGGTTCGAGATGGTGGATCGCATCGCGCGGGACGAAGGGATCGTGATGAACACCATCCAGTCCAAGTCCCTGCTGGGAGTAGGTACCCCGCTCACTCTCTACTCGCTCGCAGGGTGTACATATGTGCTGCAGTTTTCAGTATCGTGTTTCGCAGTTACTGCTTGCTCTGTGAACCGCTGCAAACTGGACACCTTTTTTTAGCTGAGTTTTAGTTAAGATGCATGCTGTGTGGTGTTTAGCTCGATGGCGATATTTGGTGCTGTAATTGTAACCTTCTTAGTATGCTAGCACCAGGAAGGCAGACGCATGACTTATATTTTAGATAAAATATGGTGGCTGAAGCAAGTGATCTGTGGAGAACACCCACCCCCACATCTAAGTCAACCTTTTACCAGTTAGGCCCCGATTGGAATGCTGTATTTTTGCTACCCCGGTAACATTTTACACCTGTATATTACCCACCTTCAACAAATTCCTGGTGTAAATAATTTCCGGTTGTAACATGCGCTTGGCTCCCAGGTTGTAATGCCACCGTATTCAAGCACACAAGCATCATCACGTCCAACCTCCAACGCCATCGACAAAGCCAGGGCCCGTGCGACCAAGTTACCGCTCTACCTGCTGCTCATCCCCCTCCTGGTCATCGTCTCACTCCTCTGCCTCAACCGCCGGGCCGCCGGCCATCAATCTGTCCCCGGTCGCCGTGGGCGCTCCTGGTGCTCGGCAACCTCACCACCTCGCCATGCGCGATCTATCGCGTTGCCACAGCCCGGTCATCATGCTCTGCCTCGATAGGAACTGCACCGTCCAGCTGCTCCAGGCCATGGCGATGTCCTCGTTGGAGGGCACGGCTCTCCAGTTTATCCGGCAAGATCCAACCGATCTCCTCCGTGTTCATCGAGGTGGGCGTTCCGGCGGTCCGTCGCTCGCCGCCTCTGCCGGCAGCCCGCTCAATCGCTAGCGGGACTGGGTCCTCGGCCGGCTACTCTCCGAGAAGCTCCGGATGTCTCCGCGGCAGCTTCTCCCGGCGTGGTCGCGGTCGACAGCGCCCCTCGTCTCTTTCACGGTCACGGTCACTGGCACGGGCGCCGGCGGCGACACCTGGCCCCGTCGCAGCCTTTGCCGCTGGTGCCTCACCCCTTTCTTGCTCCGGCGGCGCGTGCCCACCTCCACGATTTGGAGAGAGAGAGAGAGAATGCGGAGGCAGAAAACGTCGGGCCCAGGTCTGTATCCAAAACCGGTGTAATACAAGTGTATTTGACAAAACCGGTGTAAAAAATACCACCCAAAACCGACGAACCAACCGCATAACTCAACACGGCTCGTTTTGTTTTACACTTGCATATTTTACCGGTGTAAATCGCTCCAAAACGACGAACCAAGCGGGGCCTTACTTATATTTGGTGTTGTATTTTGGTACAGGTTTAATTGGGGAGGTACCAGTGCTGCTGACAAAGCCACAATCATACATGAATTACTGTGGTGAAGCAGTGAGTCTTTATTCTTTTCTTCTTGAAGTAAACATTTCCTGGGAACTATATCATTTATGAGAAAAGTTGGTGTAATAGATTTGTGATATACTCACTTCAAGAATATCATTTCAATGTTTGTTTGGCAAAATACATCCCCAAAGCCTATCTATCAATATGAATGCTGATGCCTTTCTTGTATGAAGCAAAAGTTACCTAAGTTGGCTGCAGAGAAGTACTATCAGTTATGTTGCTAATCTTAGAGTGTTTCACAACTATGCCTATACATATCAGTCTCATTTCTGTTAGCATATCATGGACCATGTCTTATCAAAATGAACTAATTTCTATAAGTTGGTGATAGGCCTTGTTGAATACCCGCTGTCTCTATTCTGATGCAATATTTTTCCCGGTCTTCTTAATTTGTCATGTACTAACAAAAAACATTCCTCTATCATGTGAAGATTGGACCGCTTGCTGCCTATTACCAAGTACCGCTGCGGCACATTCTTGTGGTACATACTATCATTGTTCTTTAGTAGCTTACCGCAGCAACTCGGTATCATGTGCTTGCAACTGAAACCCATGGGTTCTATTTTTTTCAGATTTATGATGACATGAGTCTGCCCAATGGTGTATTGCGACTTCAACGGAAAGGTGGCCATGGCCGCCATAATGGGTAATATATGAAGTTCCAAATAATTTGAACAATTAGTATGTTTAGTACTTGCAGTCACATGGAACGTGTTGATGTTACTTTTACATACATAATGCATTAGATTTAGTTCAGTCACTTCATTTTCTCATTCTGGAGTTCAAAAGGCGAACCAGAATGGAATTCATTTAGAGTAAATGTAACAAAAATGGGCCTGGTTTATTTTTCAGATGTAACAGTAAGATTTACTTCTCTAGAAATCATACTGGAAGTTAAGTTCATATAGCTCCTGTTGAGATTTTTGTCTGAAGAACTCATGAACAACAAATATGGATTTGCTCAGGAGGCCAGGATTGAGTAAATTACATGGACTTACATAATAAAATTTTGATCTGTCAAAATTTTGCAGTATTGAGTTTGGAATACTCGAATAATGGGTGCCTCTTCTAACTTAATATTGTGATGGAAAATATTAGTTCCTTTTGCTGTAGGTTTTATGTTATACTAGCATCAGTTTGCTTATAAATATTATGCATTTGAAGTGCTGTTTCTGCGATTTTAATAGGTAAGATATGTTACTTACATTTCACAATCTATTGCTTACACTCTCAATGACCATCTTCATTGAAAATCAGCCTACAGAATGTTATTGAGCATTTGGATGGCTGTCGGGAGTTTCCTCGTTTATCTATAGGTATATATTATTATGTTCACCAGCTAGCACTTCAGTGTCTTCTCTGAAAATCCGGGTCATGCCAACCTTGAGTTGTTGACTGTTGAATACAGGCATTGGTAGCCCACCTGGTAAAATGGATACACGAGCTTTTCTTCTGCAGAAGTTTAGTTCAGAGGAACGAATTCAGGTATTGATTTCACCATGTTTGAAATTTCGTCGTAGATATCACGTAGTGTGAAATCCCTTTCTTGTGATCTTTTGTCCTCTTCCAGTATGTTCATCCATTTTTTTCTCTCTCTAGTGGACAAAAAAAGGCAATGCCATACCATCAATTGCATTCTACTCCTTAAGAGTTTATTTCCAATCATTAATAACATTTCAATTGAAAAAAATATCTCCCACGATTTCATTGGGTTATTATAACTGATGAGTATAAATATGTGTTGAGGTCATGGCGAACGTTTGTAAGTACAAACAAAGAATGATGATATGATTCTGTGCTGGCCATACTTCACATTTGTTGGTACTACTCGAACTAGGTTGTATCCTTTAGTTGGTTACACAAAGGGACGATCTCAATTTATATGTACTGCTAACTGTTCTCAAGCTTACTTGCGAAAGTTTTGCAATGTTGGTTCTCGTTTTCTACTGGTCTGCCCTTTTCTGGGAGGAACTCTCAGATATGGTTGTTACTACATGATTATTGATCTAAAACCTGTTATCTTATTTTTATATAGATTGACACCGCGTTGGAGCAAGGGGTGGATGCTGTGAGGACCCTTGTGCTGAAGGGTTTTAGTGGAAGTATTGAGAGATTTAATCTGGTGCAGAAGTACAAGTTCAACAGGGCTTGATGATTCTTTAGATGCTTGGATCTGTCTACTTTTGGAAGATACATGAATGCACATGAAAATGTTTTTGCAAGCATTTGATGTGATAATTTGCATAACCTTAGGTGCACTAAGTTGGGTGTCCTGTAGTTTTGAGGATATAAAAAACTTAGCAGGGTGTAGATAAGGTAGAGTTCTTCTGCACATCTTCCTAAATATAACTCATGGTTTACTCAAATTGGAAATAAAATAGGTCCATTTGATGAAGGTCATGTAAAAAGATTTTGTACTTCTGTAGGTTAATGACACATTAGTCTGATGTAAAAGAGGAATGCAGACCATTTCATTCCTCCTTTCCTAATTCTGTGATTTTGTTCATGCAAATAAATACTTAGTTGTCCTTGTTGGGGTAGATCATCTGCCTGCAAAGTGGTGATATAGGTAATTTATTATCTTTGACCGTACAACTCGTTTTCATCAACTTGATGTGGTAAAGTTGTTTAGTAGTGTGTCATGTTATGGTTAGAGATGTCTATGCCCCCACGTTATCTCACCCTTTAAAAGATTATTGTAGGAGATCCTCAGCGCTTATTTGACAAGGACTTGAAAGCAAAATCCAGTTTTTTATTTTCTTATGCTGATATGTCAGTCCAAACTTGTCGGCAACAGATAGATTGCAGAAGTTTCTTATGCTATTGTAAAAGCTTGCACCTTCTTGCGTCAGTTAAGCTAACTACTATCTATAAGACGCAGAGTAAAGATACTGTAGCTCTAATTTGTATTGTATTTTCAAGTTTAATATAGAAATTTGGTGATTAACTTGCACAGGTCAGCTTATGATTAAATGTGATTTGCAACCATCTAGCATAATATTCTCTAGGTGAAGTTCAAAACTAGATCTAGAACAGTCTGCTATGCGCTAATTTAAGAAGGCAAGACCTGCTAGACCTTCCTGCTATGAGATAGGGTTACAGGAAGGTGGCGATAATAGTTGAATCATCTTTTCAATTCATGGCTGGTTTATTGTACTCATATTCTTCTTTACTGCCATCTTATCCTTATGCGCATTCCAATCTCATGTGCAAAATGTACACGAGTTGATTAGCTCCTGATCTGGGACCATACAATTTTACTACCACATGTCATGAATAATTTGAGTTATCACTTAACAGCCAATAATTATAATGCAGCACACATATTCCATAAAACTATGTTTTTGATTGAATACTAGCATGTTTCCATATTCTCTTTGTATTTTTTATATAAGTCTTTACAATTTGTAGTTGATGCTGCTTTGCTTCCATTTTTAACGGGCTGTTTGTAAAACTTGAATTGGCTATGATGTGCAGCCAAGAACATGTATACGTTAATTTTTGTGGAAGTGTGCCTTTTCTGGTAATGTTACTTTGACCCTGATAAAACATTTATATACATGTTTCCTGTTGCATTTTTATTTCATTTCCTCGTGGAACAACTACATACGTCTCTTTATGTTATCAAATTTTATTAGTGAACCTTAAAAGATCAAATGCATGGTTTGGCAACAGAGTTAGTGAAGTTGTAGCCTTAGAAACCTGGTATTAATTGCGCTGAGCTTGGTGGTAATGTTCAATTGGCAACCTGACACATTAATTCTTTTTGAGTTTCACAGCATAACACTCCAGAGGCTTGCATAGCTGGAGAAATGACATGTGCACCGATGCTGGGTTCTCATAGTTTATTAGTTGTCCTTTAATGTAGAACATGATGTAATGTAACAAGGTGACTAATAGTTTTTGGTAATTATAAGAATGTGAAAAGACCAGTTTTCAGCAATAACTGGTAGCAATTGCCTTCTATCAATATCAACCTTTTTGTAGCAATACTAAGAACTTCTGATTAACGAAGCGCCTAGCGGAAATAGCAGAATAGAAACTAAGAACTTCTACCAATATCAACATTTTCATATGATAACCTTTTCATATGATGACCTAAATGTTGTCATTACTTGCTAAAGCAATAGCAGAATGGAAAGTAATTTATTCTGAATGAAATTGTAGTTGGTTCTAACCTTTTCTAAGTGGGAGGGGAAGGAACTAGTTTCAGTGCGGAGCTACCAATATTCCAGAAAGCCAGAGATAACTTGTGGTGTGATGGTACCAGTAACAACCATGTGACTTGCCTAGTACATCACACAAGATACGATATTTGTCAAAGGCTTAGTTTTGACCATGGTTTCAAGACCAAAAAACATTAGTCTAGTAACCTCATTTCCACTAATATTTGCCAGAAAAATTCCTTATGACTAATTGTTTTTTAATCACCAAGTGGATTCCAAAGTTTCAAAGATTATATTATCTAAAGCTCTTCCCTCCACCATCACGTTACCTAAACTACTTGCTAATCTCTTTCTTAAAGCCATCACACAAGTAGGGCTTGGAGTAATCATACATCTAATCCATGTGCATCCATCTGTTGATCATTCGCTTGCTGAGCTGTATTATATTTACCAAGTGTCATAATCGTAGCCGTATTGGCTTAATTTGCGGGCTACACTGGATCTCTATGTTTTATATTGTTTCTGGTGGTGACGTTTAATTTTAGTGTTTTGTTAAGCTTTAGACATTCTAGACTATTAGATTTTGGTCTAGGTGTTTGTTTACTCCCTCATTGCATGATTAAGTATAGGAGAATCACTTCACATGACTTTAAGTGAAATCCACCCAATCTCAAGTGCTTATTTTATGGAGTAGGTAATGTCACTTGGAACACTAGAACATAGTTTAGAGTCCTTGCTCACATTGCTTGGGTTTGTTAACTAGCTTTCAAACTTATTCAGTAGGAAGACATGAACCTCAATTATTAAGCCAAGCCATTTTTAATCTCCTGTGGTGGCCCAAAAAGCACTTGCGAAGAAAAATAAGGAGATATGGTTGCTAAGTTGAGTGTTATGTATATATTGCTTTGGAGTAAAATGGGTGAGGTCATCCCTGGGATTAAACTATGTGCTAAACTTGTCATCATGAGCCACAAAGAAGGATTTTCTCTCAAGAGCATAAGTTAGGCGGGTCCCTGCTAGGATTCGGGCGATCTTAAATGTTGCCAACTTTGTGCTTGCAATCAACTAACAAATAAGTTGGGGATGTGACGAGGAGCCTTTGTTTAGGTAACACAACAGACTCAAGACAAACTTGGGACTAGTCACATGTAGCTTGTAATCAAGTTGCAAGTTGCAAGTGACATACATTTCTATCTTATCAGCACCCCATCAAGGTTACTGAGCAGTGTTTTGGTTTCATCTGCTGTGAATAAATGGTCCACATCTGTTAGGTACTTCTGAGAATAAGGTGCACACTAATGAGCCTTGTGAGATCCACACAAGTTAATGATGTGCTATCTACCTTTCATAAAACCTCAAGGTAATATGCGACTTGTTCTTGAGCCTTACTGCAGTAGCATTGTAGAACGTTTTTGGGATCAATACCATTTACTACTTTGATATACGGTTGGATGTCAACTTGATTATTTTTGTTTATGAATCATAGATATGCATAACCTTTCAAAGACCTCATTCCAGGGCATGAACTCTAGAATAGAGAGTGAAATATGACAACAGTATGACAGCAAATAAGGCTACCTTAGCTGTGTTTCCCTGACTGTGAGGGTTAAATAATATCTAGATGAGGTGCTCTGTAGTGCAAGGTGGAGACCACTGCAGCAAGCAAATGCTAATGATGGATAGCCCCCACTCTTTAATCAGGGGAACAACGGGATGATTCACTGACCCTAATTTTGTTTGTTCGCCATAAACTAGTAAGTAGGAAGTGAAAGATATGAAGGAAAACAGATTCAACTCACATTTGATTCCCTACATGTTAGATCCAATATAGTTATCATCAACAAGGAGAATTATACCATTCAAGGAGATAGTAAATTGCAGGTAAAATTGGTTCGTTTACCTGCATCTGTGTTTGCAGGTTTTATTGAGTAAGTACATGTTAGATTCTTGGTGGCATAAATTAATGATATTAGTGCTGCTGAACTTGTGTATTATAATAAAAGACCATGTGCGTTGCTGCAAATTGCAGTCTGAGGAAAATATTTAGGATCCCTTGCCCTCCAACCGCCCAAGCTTCTTTCAGACAATTCCTCCTGGAATCAAAACATATTATTTTTTTCAAAAGAAGTTGGTGTCTTATGGGGTCCTAGTATTGGTCATCCTATAAGGTAGCCCGGAGCATGGAAGGAAAGGACAAGTAGATGAGGACTTTTGAAGTTATAGAAGCCAAAGTTTCTTTATAGAACTTGGCAACTTGCTCTACATTTTCTGGATTTTGCTAGGTTCACCGCTAGCACGTGGTATGGGCTGGAATCAGTCCCAACCAACCAATAACTTCTACTCTTCTCTTTCTGTTCAAGCCTCAGGGCATCTCCAGCCGTTGGCCTCCCAGGGGGCGTCTAAAAGCGCCGCCTGGGGGTGAGCCGGCGCAAAAAATGGTCCTGGGGCGATTCGGTCCCCAGCCGTCGGCCCCCAGGCGCGTATAAAAAAAAAGGACGGCCATTCGGCGAAGTTATGATAGAAAGAAGTTAAATTTCGGCTAAACATGGCAAATTTCGGCGAAATTCGCGCATTTTCACATTAACCTAATCTAAAAAAAAGGGGCTGAAGTCATCGCCGCCATCGTCGTCGTCGGCCTTCTCCTCCTTGACGCGGGCGCCCCTGCTGGACCCGGCATCACCATGGCGGGCTGGCGGCGGCGCGTCGTCGTCGTCGCTGTCGCGTAGGACGACGACCCCGTCTTCATCGGGGCCGCGTCGGCGCTCCTCGAAGCGGCGCAGGGCGGCGCGCTAGCGCTCCTTCACCTTCTCCTGGCGCGCCTTCTCCATCGCAATGGAGTCCTGGCGCGCCCATTCTAGGGCCGCGTCATCGTCGTCGAACTCCGCCTTCACCGGCGCCAGCTCCGGCTTCGTCTTCACCGGCGCCAGCCCCGGCTCCGTCTTGGGCTTGACGAAGCGCGGAGGAGCCGACGAGGAGGAGGCGCGCC